AAAGGGTATTTTTGACAAATAAAACCAGATGACGTCATAATTAATAAAAACGTTAAAATCGTATTAGTAATGACGATTTTATCGTTTTCAATATCATGACATCATTTGAATTGATTTTTCAATATTTTGTTAATGTAAACTCTATCAATTGTTATCAAATCGTCCTAGTGTAAAAACTGTTCTTATTTCTTGTATTTCAATATGAACAATTGCCTCTTTGCTTGTTATCGTCATCGTTGCAAGTGTAAACAGGCGTTTTTTTCTCCTACATTTACCTTTACATAACGAGAATATATTGAAATTAATTTTATGATATTTTCATAGTACGTCGGATATGGCAAGACTATACGTTTCAATACATTCATTTTTCCTACTTATGGACTTAAGTTTTCATTTTAAGTTTTCAAGAATTTAATTTACATGTATATATAGTTGGCTCTGTTTTCAGAAACTATTACAATGAAATGTTTAAAATAATTGTATGATAATTTCATAGTACGTCGGATATGGCAAGACTAGATGTTTCAATACATACATTTTTACTACTTATGGGTTTAAGTTTTTATTTTAAGTTTTCAAGAATTTAAATTACAAGTATATATAGTTAACAACAATATAAAGTAAATGACAGCAGCACTTTGAGACTAACAATATATAGTTATATATTGTTAGGCTCAAAAGTGTTGCTGTCATTTATTTTATATTGTTCTATACTGTATCAGACTAATGCATCTTTACTTTTTATTCATCAAGTATAGTTGGCTCTGTTTACAGAAACTATTAGGCCTACCATGAAATGTTTAAAATAATTGTATGATAGCTTTATAGTACGTCGGATATGGCAAGACTAGACATTTCAATACATTTTTACTACTTATGGACTTAAATTTTTATTAAGTTTTCAAGAATTTAAATTACAAGTATATATAGTGGGCTCTGTTTACAGAAACTATTGCAATGAAATATTAAGAATAATGATAAGATGTGGTGTTTTATAGTACGTTGGATATGGAAAGACCTTACGTTTCAATACATACTTTTTTTGCTTACAGGCTTAAGTTTTCATTTTAAGTTTTTGAGAAATTAAATTTTAAGAATTTAAAGTACAAGCATAGGCATAGTTGACGCCGTTTACAATAACTATTACAATGAAATGTTTGAAATAATGGTTTGATAGTTTTGTATAGTAAGTCGGATATGGCAAGACTAGACGTTTCAATACATATTTTTTGCTACTTGTCGGCTTAAAGGCCGTTTACCACTAGGCGAATTTCCACAACAATTGTTACACGCATACGTAAGAGACTCTCAAGACTAATATTAAACTGCGCATGCGTATAGGCAAAAATTGTTGATTTGTGCAAGTACATTATATTCGACTAATGGAATATTCGTCTAGTAAAAAACAGGCTTTAGTTTTTATTTTACTTTTTTAAGAATTTGAATTATAAGTATATAGAGTTGACTCCATTTAAAGAAACTATTTTAGAATAATTTTAAGATATGGTGTTTTTGTAGGCCTATACGTCGGATATGGCAAGACTAGACGGTTCAATACATATTTTTTGCTACATTATGGGCTTAAATTTTTAAATTACAACTACATATAGGCTCTAGTTGACTCCGTTTACAAAAAACAATTACAATGAAATAGAGTAATGGTAAGATACTGTTTTTTGTATAGGCTATTACTTCGGATATGGCAAGACTAATGTTTCAGTATATACTGTACTACCGGTAATTGATCAAAGACTTTAAATGTACATCACATACAAAGACTAATACAACAAGTTGCGTATCAGAGAGTAATTACTATGTTTTTACACTTAAAATTTAAGAAACACATGTAAAATCACTAAAGTATTTTCCAAAGTGTTAGAGATATTGACCATGTATTCATTTTACACAATTATACACTATTATATGAACATTTTTTTTTCACTTTATGGTATCTTACCTCATGACATCATGACATTTGACCTATAAAAAATTAAATCATCCAATTGGTCTCTTATTTTGGACAGTCAGGGGCGGATCCAGAAATTCCCTGGGGGAGCAATAGGTAGTCCGTGGTGGATCCAGGATCTCAAAATAGAGTGAAGTGCAGTGATGGATTTTGATCGGGGCTGAGGAAAAAACAGTGTATGATTATTACACCTCTATGGGGAAATGGCAATCATATATCTAAATTTGATTATAAATTTCCCTTTTTTTCTAGATTTTCTTCAAAAAGTTTTGAACAAAATTAAGGGGAGCGGGGTCGGCCTGGCTAGGCCCCACTTGATTCTGGCAGAGTAGGCCACACATACCTCAACCCCATCATGGTAGGGGGAAAATTTTAAGAATCTAGATGCTCGGAAATGAATCTCAGATGGTAAAAAGCAGGGTTCCTCGACAAAATTATTTAATTCCTATCGAAGGGAGCTATGCTACCCTTTCCTTGATACCCATCCCCTCATGGGTGTCCAAAGGTCTAATCAAAGACTTATTTTAGTGACCCTACTGGGATTTGCAAAGCAAACTATGATTATGACACCTCTATAGATGCCCATAATCGGTACTCATTCAGACTTGCAATTATAAAATTTTATTCATTAACAAAAATTGACAGGTGTAGGGGTTTCTTTTGGCCTTTTTTATATCCTGTTTTATGAAATTTGTGGGAAAAAAATCAGCGTCTGGTATATAGCATTGTTGTATTGGGTTCGTCGTCAATCAATATAAAATCCAAAATTAGTGAGAGTTAAAAATCAAGCTCTCCTCACATTGCTGGACCAGCCACTAAACTCATGGTTACACTGCCTTTTCCTCTCCTTTATTTTTCTTCCTCTTTTTTTTTCAGTGGGACTGACGAGGGGTGGGGCACAGGCCCCGTGATCCCCTGGATCTGCCTCTGACAGTGTGCATAACAATGGTGTGAGAGCAATGATAAATAGAGAAGCTAATAGGCCTACTTAAATATTTATATCTTAGATAAACGTGTTTTTTGACGTTGCAATTAGAAGCTGCTTCGTTTATTTGTTTAGCTTTCAGAAATGTAGTACAGGTACCGGTAGTTTAATACTGATTAAACATGTAATGCATCAAACAGGTCTGTGTATTTGTGATATTATTGTATACGCTTTGCTAGAATCCTACAGTACACTCCGCTTCCTTTACAATCCCAAAACAATATTTTAAGATACTAAAATAAATGTACCTTTTTCGAAGGACAGCTGTACTTCAGTGAATTCTTAAATTTAGCACTCATGCAATTGGTATTGACAAAGATCTAGGCTTCATAAATGATCTTTTACTATTGATATTGATATATGGTATAATTTTCTCCATTTTCACTATAGTACCGTAAAACCTTGGCCCAGGCTTCTTTTTGCGAAATTTGTATGGTTCAAGATGGACTCCTTTTAAGATGGGGCTTCTTTTCGAGGCTACTTGCAAAGTCAAAAGAGAGCTGCTGTACATGTTGGTAATTACTACTATAAGCAATGTAACAGCAGTCTGTATCATGGAGTGTATCGGTATCAACTGAGACTGCTCAGAACTTGCTATTTTGAAATATATCGTCTTAAATTTATTAGAAATATTTAAACCCTCCCCCCCCCGGCTTTTTTTTCCCAATTAACGAGGTATTGGGAAAGATCATACAATTCGTTTAAGATATTAAACTTCAGTTTTCCTTTGTGTATATAACATACAATAATTTCACAATTTCGCAGTAGCATAGGACTTTCGAGTTGTTACTGTTCCAAGTAGGGATAATATACATATTTCTCTTATTACAAAGTACAAGTTATGTCTTATAAATAGGTATAGTATAGTAAATCATGTTTTTAACACAGGAAACTCTCATATGGTAACTAAAACAATGCTAGT